GCTTATCTATTACAATTCCATTGAATCCATTCCCGCACTCTACTCCATGTCCCGAGGTTATATGTATATATAATTATAGTTGACATACAGTATTAAGGTGGCCTGTATTCTTAAAAATGTCAATGTCGTAAAAGACAAAGAAATGTTGGGAAACTTCCAGAGTAAAAAGACTAAATGACAATTAAATGCAAACTGTAACCCTGAATGTTCTAAAGGACATCACAGGGACAATGGACAATATTGGAATATGGATTATAGATTAGACAAAATTACAGTACTAATATTAAATTTCCTGAAGTTGATACCTGTGCTATGATTATGTAAAGTAGCATCTTGTTTTTAAATAAACACAATAAAGCATTAACAGGTAAAGAGATATAGCCTAAGGGTTTTAAACCCTGTTAGATAGTGGAGGACCCTCAGAAGTGACAGCGTATGTAAGTATACTGCGATTTGACTACGGAACCATGCCCCCAAGGGGGTAAGGACCTCAGCACGGAGGCTGCAAATCTAAAATCATGATCCTCACAGCTCTTGTTTTTATACAACATTGTTATATTTGTGTTAATTTTTTTACCCCATCCCCAAAGCAGTTTCTGGGTTTCTATATCCCTAGAGACCTTCAAAAGAATACACAACGACCCACTTGGGGAGACTGAAGGTGCCCGCTCTTCACATGAGTAGATGACAGCCATTCTTGGGTGATGTGATAAAATCTTTGCTCAAGTAGGCAACAGTCTCAGATTTTCCAGAACTGACATTCCTGAGAGCACTGACTTTCATCCAAGAAAATCATCCCTAACATTTAATCCTTGTGCTTTAAAAGTAAACTCAAAAATGTGACCAAAAAAACAAAAAAAATTAAGCCCTGAGTCAACAGTGGGCATAAATTGCCTTTGTTTCAGGTCCACGTTTTGTCTGTTTGTTAAATATGAATGTTGGAAGACATGGGATATATACCAACTGAAAAGATGGCTTTGGCTGAAATGGTCATTTTTTTTTTTCATTTAGGAGCACATGTAGGAGCCCCTAACAGTCAAGATGGCTATGAACAATGTACAAATAATTTAAACATGAAATCTGCCCCTGATTTTGTATCTTCATAGTAGAGGACTTGGGCGAGATTTGGGGACGTTCAAGAGAGAGGGGCTGTGATTCAGTCATTGTATTTAAAAGTTTAACGTGTTGGGAGGCATGGCAGCTGACTGACAGTACCTCCAGGAAGGAGTCACTCTGTTGACCATGGATGAGGCTGCACTGGCTGTTGGCTTTCCAAATGAAACACAACAACAAGGTACAACCCTTGCATTTTAGAAATTATGTGAAAAAATGGAGGAAGCGTGGGAAAAGGTTATGATAGTGCTAAAGCGGTGCAAAGGGGGTTCTTATTGAGAAGTCTATAGAAATGGAGGTTATATTGCCTGGAGAGGTTGATACTTAATTACTTTGTTCACATATATAAAAGAATGCTTAATGAGGAGAGTTATAGCCCACTTGATCTCCACCTTCACTGAGATAAAAACAGGAGAACACAAGTTCAAATTTTAAAAGACTTTGTAATTCAACATTTGGATTTATGGAGTTTGGAAAATCAGACCCCAAAGCAAGAACCTTTAAAAGAATATACAACACTACTTTGGAAAGGCTTCTGCCCCGAGCGCATGACAGCCACCCTTTGATGTGAAAAAAACTGAAAAGGTTTTGCACAGCAAAGGAAAACGAAAAGACATCCTACTGAATGGGAGAGGATATTTGCCAATGATACACCTGATAAGGGCTTAATATTCAAAATTTATAAAGAACTCATACAACTAAACACCATAAAACGAAACAATCCAATTAAAAAATGGGCAGAGGATCTGAATAGACATTTCTCCAAAGAGGACATACACATGGCCAAGAGACATACGAAAAGATGCTCAACATCACTATTCATCAGAGAAATGCAAATTAAAACCACAGTGAGATATGACCTCACTCTTGTCAGGATGGCTATCATCAATAAATTAACAAACAAGTGCTAGTGAGGATGTGAAGACAAGGGAACCCTTGTAAGTACACCATTTGTGTAATTATAAATTGGTGCAGCCACTATGGAAAACGGTTTGGAGGTTCCCCAAAAAGTTAAAAATAGAGCTACCTTATGACCCAACAATTACACTTCTGGGTATTTATCTGAAGAATTTAATACACTTAATTCAAAAAGATAAATGCACCCCTATGTTCATATGCACGAAGACATGGAAGCAACCCAAGTGCCCATCAGTAGGCAGTTGGATAAAGAAGATGTGCATGTATACAATGAAATGGCCATAAAAAAGAATGAAATCTTACCATTTATGACAACATAGATGGACCTAGAGGATATTATGCTGAGTGAAATAAGTCAGACTGAGAAAGACAAATACAATATGATCTCATTTCTGTGTGGAATCTAAAGAACAAAATAAATGAACAAACATAGCTGACTTACAGATACAGAGAACGAACTGATGGTTGCCAGAGGGGAAGGGGCTGGGGGGCTGGGTGAGAAAGGTAAAGGGATTAACTACAAATTGGTAGTTACAAAATAGTCATGGAGATGTAAAGTACAGCATAGAGAATAGAGTCAATAAAGTTACAACTATGTATAGTGCCAGGTGGGTGCTAGACTAATGAACGGGGTTGGGGGCGATCACTGCATAAATTATATAAATGTCTAACCACTGTACTGCGCACCTGAAACTAACATAAAACAATTTTGAATGTCAACTGTAACTGACTAAATAATTAATAAATAAACAAAACAGAAACTCACTACCCACATCCCAATTCGCTTTCCCACAGGCCCCCCCTGTGGAGCCTGGGGTTCTCACATTAGCCACTTCTTTTTCTTCCCAAGAAAGGCATTCAGGACCTCGATTAACATGTGAATGTGGCCTTCTGGGGATGACACATTGTGCTGTTATCAGCCATTCACACCTCATCTCATTAAGCGCTCCAGTTAGTGAATCACCTATGGGGACCCTTAGTCAACACGGGACAAAAGAAGTACATTTTGAGAAGGAGTTGGGAAAACTCTGAGACCTGAGAAAATATGCATAGAACAAGTAGGTGTTGATGGTAAAGAGGTCCTGGGAAAAATGTGAGAATTTTCCTGGGGAGGAGAAGTCCAGGGGGGTTAGCGACCTCAGGGGTTCACATGACAAAGCTCTGAGCATGTGGGTTGGCTTCTCACGTCTCCTTGACATTCTTCTCACCCTACCTGCCCTCTTTCTTTCTCTCTCTTCCTGTCCCTCCCTGTCTCGCCCTTTCCACCTTCCGCAAGGGTTTCTACCATTACCTCCTGCACTGCACGATATCAGAGGCACGGCCCTTGGTTCTCAACACACCTTGAACACACTTGAGTATCATTTAATTTCCCAAAGGGGAATGCTAGTCTTCATGTACTGCACAGAATTAAACTGGCGACTTGCCCCCTTTTGTTCACTAGGACTCTCAATAACTGGAAGCAAAGAGCACATTGAAGACAAAGCCTTCATCCCGGAGACTACCTCCCCAGGGGCAGCAGCAGCAGCATTGACTTGTGACACCCCCGCCCCCAGGGCCCTGTGCCTTAGAAACATGACACATGTGACTTTTGCCATATAGACATTTATTTATACCCATTAACTGTCAGAACTATCTGGGATGACTGTCCACTTTGTTTGATTCATTCTGTCATCATTTATTAACTTTTCTTTAGTCTAGAGAGGCTACTGTTTGTTCTGTCACACTGACGATGGGATTGGAGAATACTGCTATTGTTTTCTAAGTACTTGGTGTGCAATTAATTTGTGAGGCCACCGATTCACTGTTGCAGCTTCCTATGTAGCCTTTTCATGAAAAAAAAAAAGTTCTCTGTAGGTGTTTTGTTTTTTTTTAAGATTTTTATTGGGGAATTGGGGGGATGGGAACAGTGCTGGGGAATTGGGGAAAGGGGAACAGACAAGTTGCTGTGGAGGGCAGCGTCACTGGCCCTCACATGTGGGATCCGAACCGGGGCCCTCTGGCATCCCAAGCGAGCTCTTAACCATCGCGCCACTCAGCCGGCCCTGTAGGTGTGTTTAACTCAAGAAGCTCAACTCACTTAGCTGTTTAATTCTGGACTTATTTTTTTTCCAAAATAAAGTATAATGCAACAGCATTGTGCTGAAAATATTAAAATCACTTTCGTACGAGACATAGTAGTCTGAACAATACATAGAAACACATAACATTCGACATAAATATTGACCATTGCCATTTTCCTCTCTAATTCCAAATGATTCCCATTACTTCATTCCACACATTTTTACTGAGGGCCTATTCTACAGGCTCTGCGCCAGGCACCGAGCATCCGGTGTAAACAAAATTACTGCCAAGGTCTAGCAATCCTTCTCGCCTGAGCTTGAATAAAAGCAGCCCCTGGAGAGAAATGGCTTGCATTCTAAAGGCCCAGTTTTAAAGGTGACCACTGGGTACTCGCCACCTAATGTCTCCTGGGAAGAGAGATATCAGGGCAGTTTGATGCCAGTCCTGCCTTAAATGTGATGTATCATTGCAATTGTAATGTATAAATCTGCCCAGAGTGCAGTCCTGAGGGTCTGTCTCCTCTCCCTCTAAATATGATTAGGAGAGGAGGGACGCATCTGTCTGTCCCTGGGATCTTCTGAACCAGGGCAGAAAACCCAGAGCACAGCACACCATTTGGGGGCTGCCATTGGCCTACATGAAGGCATCTCTCCTAGCAAACAGTCCTCATGTGTTCTCACTTGTGGACCAAAAGGCAGCTGAACCCGTGGGTGGGGAGCAGTGTGAGATCATTCCCAAGTGTGTGTGTACTGCTCTCTGGACTGAACGTCACTAAGCCAGCCTCTTGTACAAGTACCTGGCACTGGGCTTCAAGCAACCCCATCAAACACAAGCTTTGAGGGTCTGGGCCACCACCCAGGTCCTGTGTACGTAGTGACTCACCGCAGTGACGCCCCCACAGCCTTGGTGGCCCAGATCATTCAACACTCAGGTTAGTGCTCACTTTCCTCAGGAGCACTTGTTATTCTATGCATTGACTGAAGGATGGAGAAACTACCCATGAACCTCCACTGGTGTTTTCCTGGATGCCCCAGGCAGTTTAATCTTATCTACACTCTCCAAGATGCCCTTCTCCCCCACTGGTCCAGCTGGGAGCAGGAACGAGTTGGGACATTTTCTCAGGTATATGTTCTGACTCCTCCTCTCCATCCTTCTTCCTGCCTATCCGCCCACCCACTTTGGGATGGAATTGGCGCCCCTGTCCTGCGTGCCAACCTTGCTAAGTCTCTCTGACATTCCCACATTTGTTCGTGTTTTCTTTCCCCACAAGATTATACATTCATTGAGGGCTAGGACTTTGTCTTTCTTAGCTTTGACGTTCCAGTCAAATATAGTGGGAGGCACTCAAAAAAATGTTTGATAAATGAGTGAATATATCTAATACCATGGCTGACTTCAAAATAGAGTGAGTCACAGCACCAGTTTCAACTCCAAATCTCTCCCCTACCAAAATGCCAACATGTGGTGGCAATATGTATGATTTGGCATAGATTTATATTCAGTTTTTTCTTTACCTCCAAAACATAAACAATCATAAAACACTGTTCTCTGATGCAGAATATCTTCTCAAAAAATTTTGTAGGGGCTGGCCGAGTGGCTCAGTTGGTTAAGAGCACGAGCTCTGAGCAACAAGCTCACTGGTTTGATTCCCACATGGGCCAGTGAGCTGTGCCCGAGCTGAGCTGCTGCTGAGCTGCCAACAGGTGGCAGGATGGCTCAGCTAGTGAAAGCACATGCTCCTAACAACAAGGTTTCCAGTTCGACTCCCATATGAGATGGTGGGCTACGCCCACCCGCAACTAAGATTGAACACAGTACCTTGAGCTGAGCAGCCGCGAGCTGCCGAGAGGCAGCCAGATGACGACTGGACTTGGAGCTGAGCTAGCTGTGCCCTCTACAACTAAGATTGAAGAACAACAACTTGGCTGTTCCCCTTCCCCAATTCACCAACACTGTTCCCCTTCCCCAATTTTAAAATCTTAAAAAAAAAATTGTAGGTTTATCATAGAATTTAAAAAATAGAATTAAAAAATATTTGGAAAGACTTTAAGGAGATTCAAATTGATTTCTCACAAACTTTAGAGCACTAATCTAAATAGTATTAGGTAAATAACAGTCTCCTTAAAATTCAAATTCCAAAGCCAATGTCAGTAGACATTCTGTTCTTTATTTTTTTTACTTTTCTGACTAAAGAGTGTTATTCATACTGAATTTGTGTGTTACTGTCTATTGTGGCACAGTGCAACAGTACCAGTGTCAATTACATGTTTATTAATCACATAAACCATATAAGAGTTTGCATTGTTTTGATTCATTACATGCATTAACTTAGAATATTATTTTCCCTGCAGTGGGTCATTCGTTCTCTTTGTGCTAAAGAAATAGTGCTGTATCTAAAAAGGCAAAATGAATAGTAGGAAAATTATATCAAATATATTTATTGTGCATATCAGCAAATACGTCAAGACTGGACTAAATTTTATAGCAAACTGTATTAATGAACTAGCTTATATAACTATTGTCTTATAAATGTCATTAACCTGGAGCCCTTTTTCATTTTGGCAATATTGAATTCAGATAAAGATTCCTCCATGCTTTAGTCATCACGCTTGTACTGAACAGAACGAAGGCTAAAAATCATGTGATCATCTCAATAGATGCAGAAAAAGCATTTGACAAAGTACAACATCCTTCCATGATAGAGACTCTCAGCAAATTAGATATACAAGGAATGAACTGTAACATAATAAAGGCCATATAGGTAGCACGTGCAAATACCCGATTCTCCATATTTCTGAGATCCTGGCTGTTACAATATTTTAATAATATTTTTATGATAAGTATAATTTTTTATAATGTAATAATTAGTATAACCATATATTAGAGGGTGCCAAAAAATGTATACACATTTTAAGAAAGGAAAAAACTGTATTGAATTTGTAATAATATACACTGATAACAAAAGATGAATACAAGTCATGTGTATACATTTTTTTGGCACCACCGGTAGTCATAATAATTATTTTATTATAATATATTTTAATATTCACCAATTTTATATAAAAATCTTATATAAAAAAAGATTTTTGAAACCTAGTTGTCATTGTTTTGCTTGCAAGTAAGGTCTAAAATGTCTGTAAGATGGTTGGTCTTTCACATTATTCTTCTGCTTATTTCTCTACTGATTTTTTTTTTTAAGTTTGCAAGAGAGGACAGTTTATTAGGGCAGAAAGTAACAGCTCTCAAAACGAGAGGGGGTCCTGACTGGGGTGCCCCTCTACTGATTCTTTAAAAAATAACTTATAAAAGGTCAAGAGCAGATAGGTCAAAAGAATTTCTGGTGTCTGATCTGCCCGTGGTGACCCCATTTCTCTAATAATAGCCCCATAGGTACCCCTCAGCTGTGTGTGTTCCCTGTGACCACAGCCGCCTGGCCATGGCATCTAGATTAGGAGTTTACAACTGAAAAAATGGGCCACTGAGGCTTTGTTATGGGGACAAGGGATGCCAATGAAAAGGCAGTTTCTGGATGTGGGAAGAAGTAAGGACCTACGAGGTTAGGAGCTGTGAAGTGCGTAGAGATGGGGGGTAGGGGGGAAGACAGCCTGAGAGAGACACGAAGGAGGTAATGGTGCAGACAGAGAAACCAGTGACAGGAGACTCTGGTCCCAGGATAGCGCTGAGAGTAGCCATCTCATTCCTTCATTCCCAATGGCTTCTCATCCCCTGGTTCCCAATTTCTGCCATGGTCCAGCTACACTCCTGCCCTTGGAGTCTGTGAGATAGTCCTATGTTTTTATCTTTTGTTCTATTGCTTTTGTAATAAGCTAGCTTGGGTGGACTGTGTGTAACCCAAAGAAAACTTAAAGAGAATTTTGTACACATCCTTTCTTCCTTTTTTTTTTAAGGGAAACAGGCAAGTAGTTGTCCTTTAATCTTAGCTGTGGAGGGTGCAGTTAGCTCAGCCCCAAGTTCAGTCGCCATCTGGCCACCCATCATCAGCTCGCGGCCACTCAGCTGCTGTGTTCAACACTCAGGTGCTGTGTTCAATCTTAGTTGCAGGTGGGCGTAGCCCACCATCCCATGTGGGAGTCAAACTGGAACCTTGTTGTTAGGAGCATGTGCCCTCACCAGCTGAGCCATCCTGCCACTTGTTGGCAGCTCAGCGGCAGCTCAGCTTGGGTGCAGCTCACTGGCCCATTTGGGAATCAAACTGGTGACCCTGTTGCTCAGAGCTCATGCTCTTAACCAACTGAGCCACCGGCCGGCCCTGTACATCTTTTTAAAGTTGGTTTACCTTTGCTGATGGTGCTTTTATCCTAAATAAATGTTTGGCTTTTGTTTTTTAACTTGAATAAAGTCAAATCTAGTTCTCATTTCCTCTATAAATTTTGTTGCTATTTTTATTCTTCAAATAGCCATTTGTACCTCAAGATTATATAAATATTCACCTGTGCTTTTTTTCTTTTCTTTCTTTCTTTTTTTTTTTATTAATTCCCTGTATTTTCCTGTAGTTTTTATATGGTTTTATTTTTTTACACTAAAATCTTGATTTGGTCTGGGATTTACTTTAGTATAAGGTGTGTGGTACAAGAGAGGTATCAATCTTTACTTTTCTTCAATGGTTAAAGAAAAAAAAAGCACAAGTTTGAGAAAAAGCTCTGGGAATGTTGTTTCATATCTAGGCTAATCCCAGGTCCTTCATAACTGACCTTTTGTTTTCTAAAAATCTCAAATCTGTCATGCTTCTTCTGAAGTTGATCCTTTGCTCTTGGCTTGTTCCGTCTTCAGGAATTCCTGGACATGAAAAAAAAAAAGAATTAGTTATTGATTTCCTTCTTAGGGTTTGTTCCATGAATATTGGTACCCTGGGAGTGGAGCCTGCAGTTTTTATATTCCTAATCTATACATCTATCTACAGAAAAGTCTCCCAGTCTCTCATGCCTGAAATAAATTCACTGTAATCAGTTTCCCCACCCCCTTCACTGTATTCCTGGCATCTAGTGCAATAAAGTCTGCTTCTCTAGAGAATAACTAAATCAAGGACACTATGTTCTATTTTTATGATGAGACACATATTTTCCAACAAGAGACAAATCCTTTATTTTAAAGGATTGAAGGGATGGTACTTATAAAACGTTCCAGCTGGTTTTATGAACAAGGGCACTGACAAGTGTCGGCACACACTATTAGTTGGCTCGGAACCCATAGCATGCTTATTTGATTGCGAATTGGATGAGCTGTTTCTCATATGAAGCTCTTGTCTCTCGTTGTTTTTGTTCTAAAAGAGGAAAATGTGTAAGCAGCCATGTTGGCCCGCTTTCAATCTGCAGAATGTGAGGTGTGTGCTTCTGTTTAAGGTAGTCCTGTTCTTACAGACATGTTTTCAACAAATGGGTGTGCAAAATAGTGAGCTGTGTCTTTTGCCACTTTGCCTCTTAAATCTACTGGTCTGAGTCCCATGGTACCATCTTTCTGTGAAAGTTTTGCCTTGGTTAGAATCTCATTTAGCTTTTGTTTCATCTCTTTGTGTACACTTCTCTCTTCCTGCCCCCTTCCTCTGGCTCCTTTAACTTTCCACGATATAAAATGAAAGTGCAATTCACATTTTCTGTTGCATTTATAATTACTAAAGAGTGCTCCCTGTTACCTCCTTAAAATTTGAAATGCAGATACCCAAAACATTTTCAAATTCCCAACTAAAAAGGTAAATCAAGCTGTTTAAACCGATATGACCTGGGCTGGCCGAGTGGCTCAGTTGGTAAGAGCCCAAGCTCTGAACAACAGGGCTGCCAGTTCGATTCCCACATGAGCCAGTAAGCTGCATCGTCTACAGCTAAGATCGTGAACAACAGCTCAACCTGGAGCTGGGCTTCCATGAGTCGCCAGCAATGGCGTAGGCTGCAGTGGGGCTGTAGTGGGCTGCCGTGAGCTACTGTGAGTGGCTGGCAGCTGACGTGAGCAGCTGGCAGGCGCCGTGAGCTGCCATCCAATGGCCAGTAACTGATCTGCCTCACCCAGGAAGAGCACAATGATAATACCAACATGGGCCAGTGAAGCAACGTCCTCCACAACTAGACTGAAGAACAAAAGGACAGCAACTTGTCTGTTCCCCTTCCCCAATTCCCCAATAAAAATCTTTAAAAAAAAACCAAAAAACAAAAAACTGATATGACCCAAACTGATATTGGGCATACTTAGTTTTTACTTTATCTTTTTTTGGTTTTGTTTTTTTTTTTAATTCCCAAAGCTGTGGATTATGGATGGATTTTGGACCAAGAAAATTAGTTGTTCCTATTCTGTTTTTCCTGCTTCCCATTAAATACTGGAGCGATCCTCCATGGTGTTCCCTCTCCCATCTCCCAGTCCACAGTCCCCTGACCTGCTGCCCAGCTCCTGCCTTGTTTCCTATTCACCCAGACTTTATTTCCCTTATCTCGTGTGGTAAAAATGTGTTAAAATTTTTGAAAAATATTGAGAAATCTGTGACCAAGAGAAGGGCAAGAAGACAAGAGATTTTAGACCAAAAGTGCTGCAGGAGAGAGAAGGTAGCAAGATGGGGCCGGAGCCTAGGCTGTAACGTGAATTCCTCAATATTTGGCCGTCATGTTGATACGCCTGCAGGTTTTTTTCTCTTTTGAATTTTCTGTAAAACATTTATTTAAGGCTTGGTAAAAAAAAAAAGTTTGCTTTGTTTCTGCAGGCTGAAAGTGTCCTCAAATATCTACAAATTCTTATAGCAAGAAGGAACTGAAAAAGAAAAGGGAGAGTATGGGAGTAACCAGCCACAGGAAGGGTCTCCAGTTGAGTGAGAGAGACCTGTGACCTGTCAGAGAGGGAAGCCACCGAAGAAAGCTGATGAACAAGACCAGAGTGGCAGACATTAAAGATGGCTTGATTTTACCACTAAACTATACATTTCCTTTTGATTTCATAAATAAAGTTTTATTAATTGTTAGAACCATGTTGTAACTAATAATTGACTAAAAGTAGATACTTGATAAATATTTGTTGAATAAATAAAGTCTTCCATAACTGATCATATTTGCCAAATTTATTTATTTAATTTTTTTTTTAAGATTTTTATTGGGGAATTGGAGGGATGGGAACAGCACTGGGGAATTGGGGGAAAGGGGAACAGACAAGTTGCTGTCCTTTTGTTCTTCAGTCTCGTTGTGGAGGACGTTGCTTCACTGGCCCAAGTTGGCACCATCATTGCACTCTTCCCGGGGGAGGCAGATCAGTCACCGGATTCTGGACGGCCACTCACGGTGGCTGCTGGCCGCTCACACTGGCTGCTGGCTAC